ATATACATGTACATAAAAACTTTTTTTTCTTTTGTATGCTCTCTCTCTCTAATCACTACAGACAAAATCTTCAGGTAAGCATTCTCAATTTTATGTGTACAGTACATACACATACATGTACAATGTATTATAGTCTTAAATGATATTAAATACTATTTGATATCAGTATTCCTGTATTACATGTACATGTGTATTATCATAATAATGTACATGTACTTATCTTAACTTAGTGTAGTGTGTACAGTTTATTTACATTGTATGTCATTTTCTTTGGTTAATTGGTTTAGGTGGAGTTAAGAGATCCTCATCTGAAAAGTAAGTTACACTTTATGTCACTCAATCCTTATTCACATTAACTCTCTCTCACTCAATTTTCACTTTCTTTGTTCTCTTTTACACTCTTGCTTCCTCCTCCTTCCTCTCTTGATCCCTCCTTCTTCCTTTCTTATAATCCTTCCTCCTACTCTTGATTTGTTTTTCTCTCTCTCCCTCACTCTCTCTCCCTCCCTCTCTTTCTCTCTCTCTCCCTCCCTCTCTTTCTCTCTCTCCCTCTCTCTCTCTCCCTCTTTCTCTCTCTCCCTCTCTCTCTCTCTTCCTTTCAGAACTCCTAAGAAGAAGGATTCCCCTAGTTTAATAAGAAGGAAGCCAATGATAACAGAGAGTGATAGTGATGATGACTTTGTACCACTAGTACATTAACCTGCACTCATTAACACACACACTGTATTTATAATTATCCTATTTACTTCTATAGCCTACCAAGAAACCTCCTGTTACTGTGAAGCCCGAGCCACCTGCCACTCCTGTTAAGAATGATGTTCCTCCCAGACTACCTGTTGATGTCAAAATAGAGTTTGACGTGGCCACGCCTCCTAAACCTCCAGCAGTGGATAGAGAAGTGAAAGTGAAAGCAGGAGTAAGAGCAATAGAGGGAGGGAGAGGAGTACATGTACATGTGAATCAGGCCTGGGGTCAATTACAATTAAATGTAATCTATTACTGTTACTATTACTTGAAAATTTTAACTATTATATTACTATAACTATTATAGCCTTTTTTCAAAGTAATCTATTACTATTACTATTACAACAAAGTATATTACTATTACAATTACTATTACAATATGCCATAGATTTTTACAGGTTACTTATAAAAATAATCTAATTTTGAAGTTAATCTAAGCCATTTTATAGTTTCTAGTTAAGAATGCTTTGTTATATTTATGATACAAAGTCTCAGTACTGAGCAATAGTTTCAGGCTAACGTGCTATTTTCCCATTGTTACTTATTAGTGTAACACTGCAAGTAATAGCTATGTAATATTGAGATTACATATTACTTTGAGTCAAAGTAATATGTAATCTCGATATCTTTGACCATTATTACTATTACTATTACTATTACCTGGTGCCCTGTAATCGTTACTATTACAATTACTATTACATATTACTATTACCCCAGGCCTGATGTGAATAGGATATTATATTTTATATATATATAATGAATATTGTATAATACATGTGTTATATTAATAATAACATGTACAATTATTATTTATTGCATGTGTACCTATTGTTGTATGTCCTTGTACTTTTCCATGTACATGTACATGTATGAAGATGTGTATATGTACAGTATATGCATGTAGAGACCACTACATGTATGTAGCTTCATTCTTACATGTGTACATGTACATGTAGCTAGAACTTATTATGGCCCATAATATAATAAGTATAAGTACATGTACATGTGTCATATACTACATTTAGCTGTCAATTATTAACTC